AAACACATCCCTCGTCTTTCCCTCCGTCACCCTCACACACACACACACACACACACACACACACACACACAGTGGCTGCAGTGACAGCGCAGTCACTTTCAAAACTCTGCTCTCCACTCCTCTTAGTTTCACTTCATTTCACTCCAAAAGCCTGTAAGTCAAGAGAGGACTGCAGAGGGTGGGGCTGCACCAAAACCCAAGCCTCCCCGATGGGAGAGTTGATTCATTTCAGCACTTAACTTTTAACATTTTCACGTACTCCAAATTCTTTATCTTGAGTTAGAATAAAACAAGCTTGTTTTTATTTCCTCCCCTTGAAATATTCATATGTTTTTGATGATCTAGGCAGACCTAAGGTGGGTGGAGCACATGGTTTGCATGCAGCCTAACTCTGGCTGCTCCATTGGACACCACCCTGATGCTCATCCAGATATAATGGAGAGAAGCAGCTCTGAAAATGGAAAGGGCTTCAGTCCCCACATTCAGCCTTTAAGCTGCTTTAGAGGATTGCCGGATATTTTTTTCTCTCCCTCGCTCTAAAACAGACAGCTGATACCGGCTCTGAACCAGAACAGGAGAGGGCAGAGGCTCTGAGCTTTCAGTGTGGGGCCAAGCTGCTTTTGTCTTGGCTTTCTAATCTACTCTTGGGAGACACGTGACGGTGGAACCTGGTGCCAGGAAGTTCCTGCTGCTCCATGCTGGCCATGTCAATTGGGTCCACCGCTGTCCAGGTGAAACGTTTACCTGAGTCACAGCGTGTGCACTGATGCTGATCACTGTGACATAACTGACTGCACTGGAAATTGCAGCACGCATTAATGTTTTAGTTGCAGCAGGCGGGACAGGAGCTGTTCTCTGCTTTGCTGAATTTCTCATGAATAAATCTACTGTTATATTTTGAATTTCATGGAAACTGGAAAAAAAATCCCACATGAAGCAGAATCAGGAATTATTTTAAAATCCCTTAATACAATTCATGTAAAATTAGTATTTCACAGAAGAGCTTTATTCAGCATTTCAGAGGCACAAAAAGGCCTCACATGCACTCGTTCATGGTTACATAAAAATGACAGCAGTATCTGAAGCAGCTGTTGTCTTTCAGCCAGAATCAGCGTTCACTGTTGATCTACATTCAATTTAACATGGAGTGTATTCCTCTCTTGTAAATCACTTTGATTTAAAATGCCTGTGAAATGAAAGTACTGCACCCAATCTGTCATTTCACTCACAAACATTCAGCTTTACTTGAACATGACAGTTGTCCAGTACATTTATTACTTTGACAAATTGTATTTCAAGCTCTCATTTTGCATCTGTAAAATACCTCCATCTTCTGGATGACTAGCATGACTACAACACTTTTATTTTGGGTGGTGGGGGTGGGGGGAGGTGCTGCAACGTCGACTTTTTTTTTAGCTTTATGTCAGGTTTTAACGTCATTCTCTCATCAAAAGCTTACCCAGAGTGATGTTTGAGAAATCCCTGAACCTCCTCTGGTAGCCAAGGGGAGCTGCCTAAATACTTCCTGGTACAAAGCACCGCCTATTTGTACAAAGCTCCTCCCTGGAGCTGAGTTCCTGCGCAGAGAGCATCCATCCCCTGAAGCATTATGGTGAAAATGTGCTGAAGTGGGAGTGTTAGAAACAATAGAAGGTTGGTTTAAACAATCATAAGCATACATTTGTGTTTGCACATCAAATATACCTCAAAATCTTTTCACATATAACCAATAATAAAAATAATTGTTCACTGTTTTTGTTCCTGAACTGGACTTGTTGACTGAGACTAAAACAATTTGCACACACTGAGTTTAACTCATTTCGCACAAGTCTGTCATGACTGTAATTTCCTGTCTACCTATCTGCACAGTAGCTGCTTCAATTTCTATCTAATTTCTCATTGATGGTCTGGTACTTATTATGTGATTATTATTCTTATTCTGCTTTTGCTATAATTGATATTGTCGCATAGTTGTGTATTGATGTGTGTACCTGCTGCTGCTGCTACACCTGAA